AATAATATGAACATTAAATAGAATGTAAACGTATGTAAATTAACATAAATTTTATCATTTCTACAATAATAAATCAATTAAATTATCCTTATTTGTTTACCTAGAAGGTGAAACAAATCTTTCAGATGGACAAGTTAATAAAATTGATTTTTAACATTTTGACGTTTCTACAATATCCTAAAGCGAAACTCGCTGTTTTTGAACGATTTACAGCTGTTATTTAAAGAAATTTACAAGCATTATTTTAACATTTATTATTTGTAAACTTGAAAAATATAATTGAACACAAATATCACTGACATTATAGCTTATCGCTGAAAAAGGCAGTTCATTTCACGCCGCAAGGTATCGCTGTGATTCCGAAGTAAACATGGCCGCCGACAGAGCGAAAAACCTATATACCTACGCCCAAGTTTGCACTCAACTAAAAAGGTCAGGTATTTTAACAGCAGGGTACACCGTTGAGATAATTCTAGTCGTTTAATAAACGGCCATCTTTTTCTTCATAGATTAAGTTATTTTTTCTGTCAAATTTAAACTGCTAGGTAATCAGTAATTCAGCCGCTAATGTCGACAGTATACACACATTCATATTAATATAAATTATAAAACGACGTCAAAATCCCATTGGCCACCCCAGAACCTATAAAAACCTCACATCATGTTCATATAAACTACACACCAAAATATAAAGTAATAGTCGAGCTGATTTGTCATTTGACAATTTTTGTCTTATGGCGGTTTACTAAAGTAATGTGACCCAAATTTCCTTTAATTTATTCATTTTACCTGGGAACAAAAAGTGTATTAAATTATTTCTCTTTTTTGCTGAAATGTACAATTTATTCTAAAATCTGCATTGCCAGTTTTTTTAGGTGAATAAAGAAAATGCTATTCATCAAAGCTGGGACCAATAGATTAATGTATTAGTTCTACATCAAAGCAGCTATTTGACGACCATAAATCTGATATTTCATAATTTCATAATTTTATATATTCGTGTGTTTTTGTTGTCTCTGTTTATTCACTAAACAAAACTCAGTTCTTTTTCTCTTTCTTTACCACACATATATCTTAACCTCTAAGCTATATTATTTTCATACCTCCAGCTTCACCTCTTATATAAACTCTAATATTTTCAGCATCAAACTAAGAGCCGTCACTCTGTCATATTTACCCTGTAGAACCGAGCGAGTGGTGTAACTTTAACACTGTTCGATTCTGAGGGTCAATAAGACGGGGTCATTTTCATCAAATGCTTTTAATATTTTTCTGTTTTATTCTTTCTTCTATTTTCCTTGCCAAAATGTCCTTTACGTTTCTCTATTTCTTAGTCAAATTATTTGAAATCATTTTTCCTTTTTCTCTTTATAATAAATTACAGGTCTCGTATATAACTCACGCACAGAGAAATATAGAAATTTCAATTTTACAGGTAGGAAAAAAAAAAACAGAATTTTCAATTTAGTATGAAAGTGATTAATTGTAAATTTCAAGAGAAAGAAAAATACATGTGTAATTGCCTTGGAAAATAATATTACAATAATTTACATAATGAAAATTTCTGTAAATTTCCCAAGTGAATATCAAATTTCAAAATAATTCCAAAGCACACTCTCTGAACTTAAAACTTTATTCTTTTTAATTCCTTCTTGTCGATATCCATGGAAACAAAATGGCTTAGGCAATTATTTGAATTACTACCCACGTGATAATAACATACTTTCCATAACTACGAGAATGTTTATATTGACAGATAATTTCCATAAACAGCAATCTTATTGTCCTCAACGTATATTTCAACGTTATAAAAAAAAACCAAACAAACAAAGTCTGTATAAATCATGATTAACGCATTCCTTTTGCCTTTAAAAAAGCTCCTATACTATTGTGAAAATATTTCGACTTTTTTATGATTCATTTATTTTTCGGTTTATTGTTCTGATATCCTAATGGTTTTGTTTGTTTGTTTGTTTGTCGGTTTGCTTGCTTGTTTATTTTGTATATATGCAATGGGATGAAGTGAATAAAATTATTAACATCATCAGAGACATATAATACATTTGTCTCTGATATCATCATCGTCACTAAAAATTTATTCAGTTTAAAACAGAAACGAATATGTTATTTTTCCTTATGACAATTTCGAAAAAAAACAATATCATTTATATTCAATTTTCCAAAATTGTAACAAATTGTTAACTATATCTTTTAAGCTATGCATGAAGCAAATAAATATTATTTTACAATGTGGCGCTATGCACCTACAGAGGTATACAAAAAGACAGCGCCAATGAGTCGAGAAAAGTCAACTAAGATGACATAGTCATTCCATGGAGAACACAGTATGTATTTGTTTATTTTTTCACACTTATGGCGCATAAAAAATAAAAAATGAAATAATCTTTCAACAAGTTGGTTTGGGTACAATAAATGACAAATGGGTTCTATAGGATTACACGAGCCCTAACCATATGTTGTGGTCTTTAAATTTCAATAAATTTTACTTTTTTTCTTTATAATTAATGATATTTCTCCTGCCACAAATATTAAATGTAATTGATACTGCATTTAAAAGTGTGATTAAGTCAGTCTACTTCAGACTGTTCGTATGTATACTTGCTGTGAAATGCGAAAGAGAACTGTCATCGTATGAAAATTTAATTTAACTTCATATGAATAATTCCATTAAATGTTTCAACCTGTTAAATTACTAACATTTTTATACCATGTGTATTGAATATCTCTTCAAGTGTCTATTGTGTTGCATTATAATTTGTTTATAAATAAATAAACTGTCAAGCAATTGTTCGATTTTACTAGGCTTTTTCTCTTCGTTTGTTTGTCTGCTTGTTAGTTTGTTTATCGTCATTGTTTTAGTTATATCCTTATGATTGCCCCATCAGGATTGAAATAGACTTCATCATTATTCAGATTTTGAAACAAAGCTCCATAAATCTCCAACAATCTTGTTAATAAAAATTCTGGCCACATAGTGACCATCGCCAAGTCTCAGATTACTGGACATTGATCAGGACAAAGTAGTAATATGACTGAGGTCAGTGAAAATAACATATTTGACCGCCGACTAAATTGGATACCAAAATCGTGGAAGATAGAATTCACAAGGGATGACAATGTTTGACAGAATTGCATTAGAGCTAGTAGTGGAATTTTGTATGGCTGATTTACGACAGAGCCTCAGGACCCAATATTGATTAGGAACTAATACAAAAATAAGCCTTCACACGATGTATACTTCCATGTGTGGGTTAAATTTCTCGAGGACAACTTCAACAAAGATGTCACAATCAGACATTTTTATTATTTCAGAACATGATGCACATTGTGTGCATTGTAAATCATTCATTTTCTATGTTTGCTTCAGATTAATTTAAAGAGTCCATCGGCATTTTACTTTTTTTTCCAAAAGCGAAATAATCTTTAAAAAAGATATGGAATAAATAATTTTGTATTTAATTTGTGTCTTTCTTCACTTGTTCCTTTTTTTCTTCCTCTATCAAACAAGCATGCAAGCTTCCAAACCTTGACATAATTCTACTCCAAAAAAGACATTTTGTTAACACTAAATCATAAACCGAGATAACTTTTCTCGCTAATTTTTTAATCCGTAAAATAACATTAAATGATAGACATGGATGCTTCTAAAAAGATTGTGAACAACAGAAAAATCAACTTGTCTTAAATCACATTTATCAATTTTTGTGGTTAATTAAATTTTCTGAATGTGGCGATTTTACAAAATAAATGGATTACAAATATTTCTGATAATGAAGCGAAAAACCCATTTTACACCATAAGCTGTCACTTTTGAGCATTCATCCTATTTCCAAGATTTGTTTTGCAAACAAAATGCAAAGTATCGTATAATGGAACCGTTACTCTATGAAATGGTTCTTATTTGCAAATTTGATTTATGTTTCTCAGAAAAATAATCAAAATTGAGTTTATTTAAATTTTCCATGGCTACAGAGACCCAGGTGACGAAAAAGTTTTAATTCTGCGAAATTTCTCGCCAACGTCATTCAAAAGAAAATTAATTTTATGATTTATTCTTGCACTCTTATTACAAATTTATAAGATACGGCGGTAGAAGGTTCCGATGTCTTGTAAGTTCATCAGAAAATTCATGCCAGTATAGCCCAATGCAATATTACTGACTGTATTTAGCAATAAACAACCCAACAGTCATAAAAACGTCTAATCGATCCGAAGGGACCATAAATTTATCTAATATTGGAAATTCGTATGATTTCAGTATGTAAACATGGTTACTTTGTAGTATTCAAAGATAAAATTTTATTTACTTTACTTTAATTAACCTTTCATAATGAAATAAATAAGAATAAACTATCTATCCTGACTTTCTATTTGTGTAGTAGTATCCATTATATACGTATTGTCTTTTTCTTTTGTTTCCACGTCCATTTCAAATATTTATTAGATTTGCGAGTGTTAAAATAATATATGTGTGGTATAAAATTCAACTGGGTTTAATTACCCATTAGATTCCGGTAAAATGATACTCTTGAACGTTGATGTTCTATTCTTTAGACTCAAGGATTGGTAATTTAAGTCACTTCATTATAATAAGTAAACAATGCGAAATTTATATAACCTTTGTATTTTTGCTTTGTTAAAAATAAAACGATTGTTTGAAGATCAAATATCAACAGTAAATCTACACATTTTACTTGAAAAGAGATAGCCATTTTATCCGTTTCTGATAAATAATGAATAAAAACCAAATTTTAGGTTGTTTATTTTCCGTCAATTGATTACTATGGCAATTTAAGACCTGTTTTAGGTTAATAATAAAATTGTTCGTTAACTTGGGAGCATATAACAATGAATTGGAATTGAAATAGTCATTTTATTTCCACGTTGTTTCATAGTGAGGGTGTGATTCGGTCATCAGATCAACTTACTGAACGAAATTTGTTATCTTCGTTTTGATTGGCTAATCGTCTCGTGCTCTGATTTCTATGCAAATGATTTATTTTGGCCGACATTGAGTATGGACGAACACAAATCATAGGTTATTTTATTGTATAAGGTCATGAAGTGAGTAAAATAAGAAAAATAAGCTGAAATAGTGGAAAATGAACTCGTATTATCCAGCGTCGTTTTTCGCACAATATTCATCAGAAAATCCACACATGTCTCATAATGTTGGTTATAATTCGAACAATTTTGGATTTTTAGCATCAAGATTTGCAGATCAGTTATCCGCGTATCATAATAATAATTTTAATTCTGAACATCATCGTTTGCCGTCGAACGGATACTCATCTTATCATCAGAACCATGACGCTCATTCAAGGCAGAACTCATCAGGAAATAGTGGCGAACATGGAGGGAGACATAATTTTCAGCCTCCCCCTGCACATCAATCAGAGGACAATTTAGTGCCGCGATCGTTCAGTAATTGCAGTACAGAAAATTGGAGCCCTCCACCTCATGGGGTACAGTCGAGTTCACCAGATTCGGTTCATAACAGCACAAGTCCCTATTCAACAAATGCAGATCCTTGTCCGTTGATGTTGCAGAAAAACTTAAAAACAGACCAGAGTCAGAATTCAGGGAATGAACCGCCAACGCCCTTTTATCCATGGATGGGAATAGTTGGTAAGTAACAAGAATAAAAAGAATAAATATTAATAAATATTTATATAGTTTTATCAATAACGGATCTGACATATTTATGAAAGGGTTAAAATCACATAAAATCATGCTTACAATTACCGTGCAATGTGTTTCTCGTTATTCATATAATTTTATTAAATAATGTTCTTAAAATATCGTTTAATGGCCACAGAAATAATGTTGTTGGTAGTCGTTTAAAATTAAAAAAAATGGGTCTCAAAAATTTATCTTATATAGCGTTGATACCACCTTAAATATTCAATTTACAACGAATTAATTTGAATTAAAAATATACAATGACTTATTCAAATATTATTTAATAGAATGTAAACACCTGAATATTATTTATTACAATTAATAAATCATAACAATGTTCTTGAAGTATGTGTCTGAGACATAAAAAAAAACGAAAACACATTCATTTTCATTTCTGTAAGAACATAAACATTGTATATATATCATTGTATTTACATTTTTTGGTATAAGGACATTATATGGGGTCAGTTGAGTGAAAACCATTTTATCTTCACTAATATTTTCAAATGAAAACACATTCATTTTCATTTCTGTAAGAACATAAATATTGTATATATATCGTTGTATTAACATTTTTTGGTATTAGGACATTATATCGGGTCAATTAAGTAAAACCATTTTATCTTCACTAATTTTTAAGACATTTGGTCCCCCTTTAAAATGATAGGATGGCAGTAAAAGGACAATAAAATGAGATTAAACTAGGAGATAAATACTACAGCTATCTGAACATTAACCAGGATGATGCAGACATTTTATTTATGTTGAATTACCTTTTAATTATACAAAATAATGTATTACGGCGTGGAAATTGCATTAGATTTAACTTCATTTTGGAGTTGTAATAAATTTAAGAAATACCGTTTTGCTTGAATTACTTGCAATTTATTTTATTCTTGTATTATCAATTGAGATGTGTATATTTTATTTCCCATAAAACCACATTTTATTGAGTTTAGAAGGCCCCGTGGTGTATGCAGACAGTGTGTAAATGTTATCTCAATTTTTATTTCTTTCTTTTTTTACATATTTTCTGTAAATTTATGGTTATAGTCGTATTATACTGAATTGAATATGCACAAGTATTATTTTTCAAAACATTGGAAATACTTGTTCAAAATAAAGAAATACTTGTGATAACTACTATAAACCTTGAGTAATAAACAAGTGTATCAGTCATATTTTTAAACCACAGATCATAATCATAGTATAAAAATGGAAACAGCATGATTTAATCACTATAATTCCTTTATATTTTTTAAATGTAAACAAATGAAATCAACACATGTTTTTGTCATGTCATTTCTTTCCATTAAAACCCTATCAGATACGATTTTGTCATCGAGAATTATTCCAACCTTTTTTCCATTAAAGTTCATTTTTCAAACTAACATTCTTTTATTTTCCTTGACATGTTTACAAACACAAATCAATTTCAAGCCATTTAACAAATAAACACGTGAAATGCAGCGTAAAATTTGAAAGGTTACAACATATGCATTAATATGGCGACATACTCTTAGCCGACAGATTGTAATATTATCGAGAAAATGGAAAAAAAATATGCGCGTTGATGTTGTTTTATCGAACGTCTAATTATTCTTGACTTTTTCACAATTAAAGTATCGAAATCAATCAATACTTTCTCTGGAGTTGCGTACAGAAACCTTCAATGTCTGCACGAAACAGCTTGGAGTGAATATATATAATTATAGTTTCAGTTTCTGTTTAGTTTTAAAATATTCAAGATGTGCTCTCATTGACACTAGTGTTTGTATTTTTATCATGCTTATGTGAATGTTCTTGCATTAATTAGATTTTGTAACTATAAAGAGAAAACCCATTGTAAGGAAAATATCATTACCGCAGCGGATTTAGTATTTCACTGTAGAAATATAAGTCTACAATTTGTTTTGAGGACGAACATTGGTGTCTCGGAAAAAATAGTTACAAAAAGTCAACCAAAACAATATTATGAAAGTATGTTCAGATATTTACTCATTTAGAGAATAATGGTTGTCGCCCTTCTATGTAGTTTTCCATACAGTGATACTTTATAGGAGATATTGTTTTCTGTTATTTTGGTAAAATCGTCTGCTCGAAAGAAAAAAAATCGGCCAAAAGCTGTGGAAAATATTTCATTATGTTTTTATCTACCAGAAACCAACCTATTTCAATGCACACACATCGTGCCTACTCTTGTTTTTGAGCGTTTGTGGTATTTTAAGTGCTACATATAAAAGTCAATACACTAGCATTTAATTTGCCTATTTGTGTATTAATAAAACCAAATTGCCCAAGAATTGACAGACCATAGAAATAAAAATGCAACAAAAATTTAATTCTTTTAAAAATAGCAGATAGAAAATGACACTTAACGACAGAATTCTTGTGCCATATTCTTCAGGATTAAATGCAGTGCTAGTTCGATAAAAGCCATAAAAATGCCAACTTACAAAAATAATCAGATATAAATTTCACTTGATATTAAATTAAACAAGATTTTATTTGAATAAAACTGTTAACGGGTAAAGAAGTAGTCTTAAGGGAAAATAAGGCAAATAAAAACTTGACAAGGTTTTTCTGTTTTTTGAAAGAAAACATCAGACAAATGTAAATCTTTTATAATTAGATAGATCACAACAGTTATAAATCAACAAATATTTCGATGTTATCAAATTATTGAAACATTTTCAACAATATATGTAAATTTTATTGTTTCATAATTGAGTTTATTGGCAAAAAATTGACTTTCATACTGAAAACAATGTAAATTCGGACAATTCTTTCCAAACGATAATTAAATACCGTGATCTGTTAAAACGAATAAACTCCATTTGCATCTGTAAATTTATTCGTATTTATATGTTATTGTAAATATATATATATATAATTTTATAACTTACTTATTTTTATAATAGAAAAAAGAAAATGAATATTCATACATTTTTTTTTCAAATACACAAAATACACATATCTATAAAATGCATATAATGTAGAAAAAATGTGTTTAAAAAAGACGAAAATTTAATTTTATCCGTTATGTAAATTTTTAATATATGTATGATATGTGCAAGGTTTGAATATTTTAAATTAACTTATTGAAAAACAATTGTACAAATGTAATAAGGAAATTACACTTGTTCCCGTTTTTTTCTCTCTCTTATATAAGAACAAAAAGTCAACTATATGTCATCTCGGGCGAATTAAATAAATTTACAAATGTAACAAGGAAATTACACTGGTTCCTGTTTAAAAACATCCTCATATAAGAGCAAAAAGTCAACTTTATATAATATCTCCAGCAAATAAAAAACAAGAACGCACAAGAATTTCATTTAATTGTAAGTTTCCTCTCACCATACACAACACATCCATTAATTTTCATGTTAATTCCTTCTCGGAATAAAATATTGTTTACCTCCGAGAACACACCTGCGAAATGTATTAATATTATACTATAATTATAACTATTTCATGCAAATGAAACGCAAAATCACTCAAGTATGAAATATATGTTCTTACATTTCTTTATTTTGATTTATGCCTTCAACACTGGGTTGAATAACAGCATACACTAAAGCCAGTAATTTAATGAAAATTAAACCCCCATTTTTGTCAGTAATATACATTACAAACCTATTTGAATCGGATGAATGCCTGGACACTGAGGAGGCTTGCATGACAATCTACTGGAATTGTTGACTAAAAAGTTATTTGCACTCAATACCGTGCTGGGAAGAACAACAAATACTTGTTTGGTCGATTTAAAATAACCTGTAAACATCAGCATATATACATACTAAACACAAGGGCGGTTTATAAAAAAATGTGTACGAAGAGGTGGGACCAACTTCCCCAAAACTTTGAAGAGGTTTAAGGCTTCATTTAGTTGGGTTTCTGAGCTGATCGAAAGTTCCAAGTGGACTACAAGACGCCAAGATGGTTATACTAAAGAGAGAGGGCGAGCGTTAGATGTTCAATGACCATAACAATGGCAAAAAGACCTTAAAATCAAACCATATTAAAATTTGTACACCACTGACGTGAATCGCATTAAATATCTAATAAATAAAAACGATACATTTTGTGCATATTTTGCTATATAATGCATAAACCAAGGACGGACATGGACATACGAACAACGAAAACGCTAGACCATACACCAACAATCGGGCCCAACACCTCAACAGAAAACACTTATTGAGCACCACTTGCCCCACTGAATATTTGGACAATTACTGTGAGGAAAATAACAAACAGTTTGCGTTATTTTCTTTTATTTAGTGATTATTTCTTACTGTTTTATTTGGGATTTTCTTCTTGCTATATATCTCATCTCTTTGAACAATCATTGATAGGATTCGTTGGCGAATAAGTTTTAGTTTAATGCGCAATAAACTTTGTCCAAGAAAAAAGAATTAGTTATAATAAAATGGGAAATTGATAAATTGTTTCGGCATTTCTTACTGTTTCATTAAATAAAAATTAAATATGTAATTTGATTTTAAGAAATAAAAAGTTGTATGAAACGTTTAACAAACGTTTTTCGAAAACAAGACTTTTTTTAATATGTCAATAGTTAAATTTTTTTTTTTTAAATTTAAAAAAAAATGATTCAGGATGAAGTACGGAATATCCGGTTAGATATAAATATCGGATGTAAAATGGAAAGAAATACCCACATAAATATCTTTATCAATAGAAACTAACACAACCGAAGTAAATAAACAGCAATAATCTATTGTAACATTCGATTGAAGTTGATACGTAATTTTATCGTAGTAAGTCGACACATCCATTCAATTTTTTGTTTGGAATTAAAAGATCATAAACCTTTGAAGAAATTCATTGAGAATTCATTCCGATAATGTATGACAAGCCAATGGTCTTTCCTTGTTCACAGTATCAAAAAGTAAACTTCTGGGCTCTTTGATATTTTCCAA